GGGTGAGGGGATTGGGGGTTCCGGGGTGGGTGGGGGATGGGGTAAGGGGTAAGGGGACAACATACGAAATGTAAATAAAACATCCAATAAAAAAAAATAATGAAAAAAAATAAATCATGTATATGAATTTAAATGGATTTTCTAATTAAATGACTTTTTGATTTTAGTTTTGTGTGTGTGTTTGTGTGTGTTACTAAAAAAAAAAAGAAATAATGAATCATACTTGACCCTGAGGAACAAAAATATCATGGCTGGGGACAGAAACTAGAGTTGTCCTAGGCACCAGTGTAGCCACTTGATCTAGGATCAGTTATGCCAGCATTATGTATACAGTTATACACATAGAGAGTATACCTCAAGCTAAACTGAACATATGATACAATTCAACTGTTTTTTAACAAGTCCAAAAACAGGTTCTTACTCTTTGAATACCAAACCAAGAAAAAAATATGAGAAATGTTGACTAATGGATAGGCACACAAACCCAGCTACATATAGATTTAAAAAATACCCCTATTCATCTGTACATGCAAAAATATAAGTATGTTCACACACGAATAAACACAAGCATTTATATAGAAATATGATTAGCCTAATGGATTATTATTATTATTATTATTATTATTATTATTTTGAGACAGTTTTTAAAAAACATAAAACATCTTCTTATACATTTATATTTGTAATTATATAAGGTTGTGTATTTCTGTGAATACATAAAACTACAGCATTGCTGCACATCAAATATTAAATCATAATTTATAGAAGGAACTGTTGTGCCCAGATTGAAAAACCCCAAAGAGGCCGGACAGTGGTGGCGCACGCCTTTAATCCCAGCACTTGAGAGGCAGAAGCAGGTGGATTTCTGAGTTCGAGGCCACCCTGGTCTACAGAGTGAGTTCCAGGACAACCAGGGCTATACAGAGAAACCCTGTCTCGAAACCCCCCCCCCAAAAAAAAAAAGAAAAAGAAAAACCCCAAAGAGATCACCAGGGACCACAACTCTGATGCAAACACATGAGGATCTTTATTCAAGCTGGAGAGCTTGGGCCACAAACCTTTCCTGATGCAATAGGATAGGAAAGCAACCATGAGGTCTAGAGAAAGGGGTTTTTAAAAGGAAAAAAACGAAAGTCGGAATTTCCAAGCCTTGGCATTACATGATTAGGTAAGAGGTTTATGAAGAGTATCTGGTCATTGATTAACTGCTGCTACAGAAGAGGAGCACCCTTTGAAACAGTATCTCCAAATGTAGAAAAGAATGTGGTAGGACTGGTGACTCCCAGGGTTACTAGGAAACTTTATCTAAAGGAATGCGGGAGAACCTATGACTCACAGCAGCTGCAGCTGGCTGGATGTGTTTCACCCTGGGACCTGATCCTCTGCTTAAGCTCACTTAGGTCTCTCATGAACAAATATAGTTAAAAACTAACATTGCTTTTGAAAGATTAACTTTTAAAAAACTGAAGCTGGGTTGTGGTGCACGCCTTTAATCCCACCACTTGAGAGGCAGAGGCAGGTGGATCTCTGTGAGTTCAAGGACAGCCTGGTCTACAAAGTGAGTTCCAGGTCAGCCAGAGCTACACAGAGAAAACTCTGTCTCAACAACAACAATAAAACATTTGAGAGTTAAAAAACAAAAGAGAATAAACTTAGCCTATAACTTGAGTGGCAACAGTCTTGACCTTTTGGGGATCCCATACCCTTCAGAAAAATAAGTGAGCATATGTTTGCAAATTGAATCCTCTAAAAGTTCCTTACAGAACCAACTTTTAGCAGAAGTAGCAAAACAAAAGAGACTGGTGTTTTATTCCAAGAGGGTAACTGAAGGATATTCATAATCATTCCCTACTAGAAAATCCTCTTTTCACTCAACTCACCCTCTCTCTTAGTTAGGACAATATTTAATTGGGGCTTGCTTACAGGTTCAGAGGTTCAGTCTGTTTATTGTCAAGGTGGGAGAATGGCAGCATCCAAGAAGGCATGGTACAGGCAGACAGAACTGAGATTTGTTTTTTCAGAGTTGAGATTTCTACATCTTCATCTGAAGGCTGCTAACAGAGTACTCACTTATTATTTTAGGAAGCTACGACTAGGGTATTAAAGCCCACACCCACAGTGACACACCTATTCCAACAAGGACATACCTCCCTAATGGTACTACTTCCTGGCCTAAGCATATACAAACCATCCCGCCCAAGAACCACTTCAGTTGTTTCTATTTGTAATGTATCTTCAGACTCCTGCCTCCAATCTGTCCATTCTAAATTCTCTAGAATATTAAAATTTCCGACTTTTATTCTTTCTGTCCTTACATCTACCACCAGGTTCATCTCTCCAGAGAACAGTTTGGCACTGTATTGGTGGTGTTACTGTTTTCTTTCTCAAGATATCTAACAGTAGCTAAAAGTCTGTCCAGCAGACCTGTTTGCATTCAAAGCATTGTCACCCTCAACAGCTGTGCAGTGCTGGGCATGCACTTGATTTTCACCCAGGTTCTATAAGATGGGGATAGTAGAACCTGAGACTGCTAAAAGAACTGACTCAAGATATCATTAGAAAGGAGTCAAGTGATAGTGATATTTAATAAATATTTCTTGAATAAACTATATATTCAACATTGTGAATTTTAATATAATATTTTTGTTCATATAAGTCTCTGCTTTAAATTCTATACTCTCTATTTCTTACTTTCAAACTTCTGACTTCCATGTCAGAGTATCCCTACTCCTACTCCCAGATACTGTGATTGCTAAGTTCTTAATGCCTCACACGTTTCATAATGGTGAAAGACAATGGAGACAACCCTCCCTGGTGCCTGGAAATAAATAGATGCAGGCCCCTGCCTTAATATCTTAGTTACCTTAGGCCAGCCACAGAAGTCCCATCGTTTTTTTTTTTTTCCATTGTCAATATGCTGTCAATGTAATATACATGGCAAAGGTTCTTATGAAAAATAATTTCTAGAAAAGGTAAAATTGGAGATAGAGAGGGACAGTAAGATCAGAGTCAGACAGGATTGGAATCAACTTCCCATGTACACAGAGAAGTCCTGGGAGAAAAGATCAAAGTTCTGCATTTTTGGCATTTTAGTATCTGATATTTCTAATACTCCAAAAACTCACTTCATGTTACATAGATATTCACTCCCTCCTACAAGAAAGAGTGGATCTTTCCAAATATGTTTGTAATGCCTGTTGGGCAGCAGTTTCCAAGGAACCAGAAGGAGACTGTGACAGAAGTCTCACAGTCCTCCAGAATAAAGACGGATGTTTTGTGTTGTTGAAAAGTAATAAATATAAAATAAAACCAAAAAGAAAAGATGTGTCCTTACAATACTATCATTCTACCTAGCGTCTCAGAGAGAAGAGTAACTAATCAGCTAATTAGTACTTCTTAGAACAGAACAGGAGCTAGAACAGGCTGGGCTGTAGGAAGATAAATTATTGCTTAGGAATCTCCCTAAGACCCTACAATGAAAGTATGCTGGTCACATCTTTCACATGATACATGTTATAGTTTAGTATAGAGTTCTTAAAAGAAATGGGATGTTTATATCTTATCTTAAAGGCTTTTACAGAGACTCCATCCACTTGAAAGGCCTGGAGATACAAGGTGTTAAGGTTTTAAGATTTTCTATTCTCTCTCTCTCC